TTTATTCAGAGAAAGTACGTTTTTGTGTCTGATTTCGTAACTTAATTAATAGTTAGCACTAATTAATTAGCATATTTGAGGTCACCCCCAGGAACCATTAAGATTGACACTTAGTTCGTGAAAATCCGATCATTAGAACGAAAGTTATTCAGGGTGATATCTTTTTTTTTTGCGGACTGTACTCATCAGGGTCTCACTGTTCAGAGGGCCGCAGCAAGTGTTCTTCATGTCAGCAAGTTGAACGGAAATTGTCTTGATTTGATGTTCTAAATTCTTCAAGTTAGTGAAGTGTTCGACTTCGTCAGATCGTGGCTGTTTGAGAGAAGTTAAAATTTGATTCTGTTTGTTGAAAAGTTCTCTAATTTTGTGGACGGTGTCTTGACAGACCTTTCTCTGGGGTGGATAGAGTACTGGCCTCCCAATGAGGTGAACCGGGTTCGAATCCCGGCAATGGCTGGTTGTTCCGGGCAGTTCCAGAAATCAGCTTTTTTGATAACGCCCGGGCTTCAGATTCGGCTTCTTTATATGATTATGAGTTTAATATATGAGACAGACACGTGGTGCTCCAAGTGTACAAGGTGATTGACGTTGCGCTTTTCGCAAAACGCAAACGTTGCTTTGCCAATTCGAATACCCATGACATACATCATGCTGGCAGTTTCCATGAAGCCGTCATTAAAGATCACCGTAGTTAAATTATTGGCAATTTCGACCACATCTTTACTAGAATAAATGTGTTTTGGAGAAAATGTCCAAATAAGTGAATTTAACAATTCGTTATCGTTTTGACTATTCGCGCCAATACATCTTTCCGGTAAATTGTCATTTGGCAGGTATCCGTATATAGGCCTGATTGCCTCCTGCGCCATTCGTAAGCCTCGACGCGGAGCAGATGGTCCGATGATAGCGTTTTTCAACTATATATCAAATAGTTTCCTGGCAAAACGGTTTCGGCCACATACACTCCACAGTATAAAGTATCGGAATATGAATAATAGTTTATTTTTTTTTAGATTTCTAGACAAGAAAACGCTGTTAATGATCCCGCAGTTCGATATGTTATAAGTTTATTTCAGAGATAAATTGCAGAACATTAGACGTTACCGTTCAGTCAGTCCTGGTTTTAAAAGAATCTACTTTTCCTGGCTTTAATTTTCTTTAATTTTACTTTATTTCCTTGTATAGGAACTTATTATTTCCATTTATTTCTTACTGCGGCAAAAAACCTGGACAAACAAATTTTAATGTAACAACATTAAAAACATGTAAATCAACAAATAATAGCAAGAGTTAAGACTTTAACTAATAAATAAATTGGTTTCAAAGAGGCTGCCTTTTGCAGCAGCGATTCAGAGGCGCAAACCGCTTATTGAAATTATCAGCAATGGGCCGCAAGTCAGCGCTGCGAGAGATTTCTTTTCACTGATGAGAAGCTTTTTACCGCCCAACAAGTTCATAACTCCCAGAATGATAGGATATATATTGTAAACGCTCCAAGCACCTCTACGATAATTAAATGTTACCAAAATCCAAAGTCGATCATGCGATATTTGCGCAAGGAGCAAGATGCCTCTGTCTTGTGGATGAAGGCGTTAGAATAAATCAAAGTGCAACAGCGGGTCATTCTAGAAGCTGTTGTCCTTCCGTGGGTCAAAGAAGACTCCGCACCAGGTCACAAGGCAAAAAAGCACAAGGCTAGTGCAGGGCACATTTTCCGGACTCGATATCTTCTGTAGAACGGCCACCCTACTCGCCAGATCTCATCCCCATGAATTACAGCGTGAAGGCCTGTTTTGGTTTCTACGGCTTGCATTAAGCCACATAATAGTTTAGACTCTCTAAAGCAACCACTTCGGCGAAAATAAGATGGGTAAAAGATAGAAGACTCGCGACTCTCTGCTGTGAATATCAATGAAGGTTTGCGCTATTGAATCGTTGAATTAGGCAACCACTTTAAAACGAAATGCATGCATTTATTAGTTAAAGCTCACTCTTATTATAAGTTTATTTATTTATTTTAAATAAAATTGGGTTAGAAATTGTTTGTCCGGGTTTTTCTTTTTGCTACTCTAAGAAATAAATAAGAATAATAATTTCCTGTGCAAAGAAATAAATAAACAATTAAAAATTAAAATTTTCTGATTTTTTGATAATTTTGCAAAAAATTGAAAAACCTCCCCACGAAAGAATGTCTTTTAATATAAACTTTTAAATTAAATGCCTGTAGAGATGAAGAAAATGACTTTAAATCAAATTTACAAAATACAAAAAAATGCAATGAAGCATAAACTTAGCTACCACCTGAAGATATTTTTCCAAAAAGTGTAAAAAGTTGGCAGCCCTCTATTTTTATTAAAGAGGCATACTTTAACCCCTTAACGTGCAAATTTTTTGAAAAAAAAACCAGCAAAAAAAAATCTATTTTTTTAATGTATAAAAACACATTTTCGAACATTGTCTTTTCTTTTGGTGGAAAATTTTGTTATACTGCTCTTTTGTTCCATAGAAAAAATATATTTTATTCTTGAATAAATAAGTATTATAGCTTACAATCCTATGTAAATGATAAATATCAATAAAGTGATTTTTTTTAACTTTCACATTGCTATTTTCAATTCTTGATTATATTTGAGTGTGAAAAAATATAGCAGCATAAAATACAATGCCGCTCGAATTATCTCGAGCGTGCACAGTTTGGCCTGTTTAGCGAGCTCGAATTAACTCGGGCGCTCAAGTTAAGGGGTTAACTCTTGGTTGCTTAGAGAATAATGGCTAATAGCTAAAACTTCACGAACGTTCAGAAGTAAATCGTTTTTCAATTCCAGTAGTTAGTAACATTTTTGGATTAAGTATTGTCAGACTGGCTACACTGAAAAGGTTCTGTGATCAGAGAAAATAACATAAAGTGATCACATCAATATGTGTACGTTAAATGTACCAATATTGTTTTTTATTTCACATTTATTTTAGTATAGCTAATATTAGTTTTGATTATTCTTGCATGGTTTTTGTTTACATTTGGTAGTGATAAATAAAATAAGGTGAAGAATTATTAGCCCCGCCTTTTATTAAATCTATGATAAAATAGTTCGGGTACGACTTTTTTTCTTCCTATTCAGGTTACAGCCACTCTGAAAATAACTATAGAGTTGAAATTTAACGTAATAATTTCCACATACATTTACATTAGAAATAAATTTAAAATATTGATTAATATGACAGTAAATATGTATGTCTCAAACGTCATTCGTTTAATTAAATAGTTTTTTTTTCTCTTCTGTGATTGAAATATTTAAAACCCTGAGCATACTTTTGCCCGCCACACAAGTTTCTAAAAACCAAGCAAATGATTCTAAATGAGAAAACATAAAGTTCATTTGTTTCTGGAAAAACTTTAGCCGATCTAGAATAAAAAAAAAAGAAAAGTCATTTAAGAAAAGAAGAAAAATGGTCTAATTGAACAGCAATTCAATACTAAGTTATCAAATTACCTTCTTGCCCGGTGCCTGGCTGTTACTTTCTATTCTTTTATTCATTCTACGCAAAATCACATATTTACTGTAAAGCAGAAATTATCTTCCACTATAGAAAAGGATTTTCGGTTGTTGCAACATTTATTATGATAACTTTTTTTATTGTTATTATTTCTATTATTGAAAAGAAAGGTAAGAAGTTTTATTTTTAAAAAACAAAAATTTGAAATCGAAATTTTTTTACAAGCAGTGGTTGCAGGGAAAATAATAGATTGAATCCAGGTCTAAGAGTAATATAGAAATCAGGAGAAACTGATTGTAAAACTATTTCATTTATTGCTGGTTTTCATATGGAGTAAAACAATGCTCGAACTATTCTTAATTATACAATGATCACCGCTATTTTTTTCTAGGATTAAAATAAATAGTCATACATACATGTTATCACTGTTAAAAAAAAGTTTTGATAATTATAGATAAATTAATCTTACCAAAAATAAACTGTTATGAAATTATTTTTTTTACCAGTTTTTTAAACTTTTCTATCTTGATTGCAATATATAAATATATGTGTTCTCTAAATTTGTTTAGTTACTCTGCCTGGTGAAAAATATTATGAAAATACTTTTTAGTGGTAACGTAATTAAAGTTATTTTTAGTTAAGTATTTTTCATTTTAAATAATTTTTCCTCCGCTACATATCAAAGTTTTAATGTATCATATCAAATGCAACTGTATTACAGTTATCTCGTCTTGATAAATTTTAAGAGGAGGCGTAATTATCCTTAATCTAGAAGTTTTAATATTTAATTCTTTATCAATTTATTAAAACTTTCGCAAAAAGCGGAGCAGTTGGCACCCATATTTAACACGTTCACGCCGGGGTGACCCACCGGTGGGTCACGCTAGATTGTCTCATTGGGCGGGGCACCGGAGTAAAAACTGGTAAAAAATAAATTTCGTTTTTTAGTTTTTTTCCGGGAATAATAAAAATCCATAACTACCAATTGTTTTTAACGGATGCAATTTTTACATTGAATTGCTTTTTCCGCCTGTATTCCTTGCCCCCTTCCCTAGCTTAAAGCCAATAGTCACAGTCGCCTAAAGGCTAAACTTACTAGATGAAAAAGTGAGATGCCTGCTTCGCGGGTTGGTACTTTGAATAACTGTATATCAAGTCAAAAGTGATAAATTTCCTTACAGTGAATTGTTATTGTTGAGAATAGATTAACTCCTCCCGAATATTATCTAATATTGAAATAGTTCTTCTACCAGTATTTTCTCTTTTCCGTCCCACTTTCGGGAGCACCACCCGGCGTGAACGTGTTAAACAGGGCTGCCAACTACTATGCTTTTAGTAATACAATTTATAGACTTAATTGTGGTGGACAATTATTAATATCTTAAAGCTTTCAGAATTTTTGGCATTTTAAAATCCTTACTACGACTAACCTGGAACAAAGAAGCGTTTTATTTTATATGAATATTTGATTCATTTACATGCAGTGGTGTAGAAAATAACTTTACATACTTTATTTTTATATCATTTTGCTTTTTTGAAGCTCTGTACATATTTACATTTATATAAATATATCCCAATAAAGACAAAAAGGAAAAAGAAAAACGAAGAAAATTAATAAGTTTTAATTATATTAATTTTAATTGAAATTTTTTGGATTTGGGTATTTAAAAAGAAGAAAATATCTGCTTTGTTGATTTATGCGATAAAAGAAATGACTTTAACGTAAATAAGCTAATTTCTTGGAATTCTAATGTTTCTAAAAACATCCATTTAAATACCACTTTTAATCAAATGAATCGAATTAAAAAAATATGCAGTTATGAATCAAATAATCAAATGAATCGAATTAAAAAAATATGCTCCTTCAAAATTTGATAAAATGCAATGGATACCCAACTAAAGTAATTAAGTTCGATATAAAATCATCGAGTTAATTCTATGTTATTATTAATGAATTTACTAAAATCTTCTTTGTTAATTAAAATTTTTACCATGTACAAATTAAGTTCAGGCAAATCCGTGGCTAAAAATCTGTGCAAAACTGGCTAATCATGTTTCTCTCTCCCATTTTTAACAAATGTTAATTATCTAAAATCATTAAAATTGCATAATTAAATATCACCCTCATTAATTATAAACTTTAAACTATCCAATATAATATTATTACCTTTCACATATCCATTTCCGGGTCAATGCTTGGTACCTATAAATCAAACGTGCTTCAGTATTGCAGTAAGAACGCGCCATAAAACCTCTCTATTTACGCTTCTAACTCCATTTGCGCTTCTGTCTTCAGATTTTGTAATCTGGTAATCTTATTACGAAATTATTTTAAATCATTCTTGAAGGATTCCGTTACGTGTAAATTCATTTGAATTCGCTACTCGCTTTAAAGATTTCGTTTTGTGTTTTATTCTGTATCTTATTTACATTTTATTTTCTGTTTTTTTGCTTGATATATTTTTTACTTAATGTGTTCTAAAAAATATTTTATTTAAATAATTTTTCTTCTTCTCTTTTCATTAATCTTTATTCTTTTCCACTATACATATCGCCCACGAATGTGAAATTTGCAGGACGGATAAAGCTTGTTGTGGTATGTAAATGATAAATTATCAGCGCATTCACGCAAGGCAGGCGGCGGTAGTGACACCAACAATGTGTATAAAAGAAGAGAAGTAGTAACTTTGACAGTTAATTTCTAATACAGAAATTGAATTTGAGCGTCGTTCTTGGGTAAAAAAGTTTTTGCCTCGTGTAAGAAGGAGAAATGCCTTCCAGCACGTGTCTGAGTTTGATCGAGGTCGAATTGTGGCCTACCGGGATTGCGATTTATCATGCCGAAGTATTGCTGCTTGCGTTGGTTGGAATCCCATGATGGTTGGCAGAATATGGAATCAATTGGTTCATGACGTTCATATGGAACGCCGTGCAGGATCTCAGCAGCCCCCCATCACTAACAGCCGAGAAGACAAACATGTTGTCCACATGGCCTTAAGGGATCGTACATCTACGCCACGAACCCTGAGTCAACAAATCGGATCATTTGCAAGACAACAAGTGTCTGCACGAACAGTTCAATGACGTTTGAAGCAGCATGGATTGTCAGCACGGCAACCTTGGCTTCGGCTACCCTTGACGCCGCATCACAGGCAGGAGCGCCTCTAATAGTGTGATCAACGACAAACCTGAATTCAAAAAATGGTACGACGTCGTCTTTTCAGACGAATCCAGGTTCTGTATACAATATGATGATAGCAGCATCCGTGTTTGGCGATATCGTGGAGAACGCCCATAGGCAGCTTGCATTTGATATCGTCATACTGGCTTATCAGATGGAGTAATGGTATGGTGTGCTATTGGATACACGTCTTGTTCACGTTTTGTTCGCATTACCGGCACTTTGAGCAACTGCCGTTAGATTTCTGATGTGTTAGGGCCAGTAGCTCTGCCTTATCTTCGATGCCTCCATAACGCTACGTTTCAACAGGACAATGCACGACCGCATGTTGCCCGCACTGTCCTGACCTTCCTTGATACAGAACATGTTCGCCTTTTGCTCTGCCCTGTACGTTCTCCTGATCTCTCTCCAACTGAAAACGTCTGGTCAATGGTTTCCGAACGACTGGCGCGCCACCACTCGTCATTCACAACAGTCGATAAATTGTGGCATAACGTTGAAGCTGCATGGAATGCTGTACTTGTCCATGCTATCCAATATCTGTTCGACTCAATGCTCAGGAGAATAACTGCTGTTACTCCTGCCAGGGGAGGCTGCTCTGAGTTCTGATTCCTCAAGATCTATACATCCAAATATCCTGAAAATTTAATCACTTGTTCTTCCAACTATAATGCATGCACCCAATAAATATCATTCTGTTATTTGCATTCCTTCCCCTGGTGTAGCAATTTTAATAGCCAGTAGTGTATATATATATATATATATACAATGTGTGCACTACGATCTNGCGTACCCTTAGTTTAATGGTTATATATATATCTTTCTTGTTTCTTGAATTATCTTGTATAATATATTATTACCTTGCGCAAATCCAGTTTTCTGACCAATCTAAGGTAGCGGATAAGGTTAAAGTTCACCTCGACCCGCCCTATTAAGGGCATACGAGTAAAAATCTGACCCGTCGCCGCGGCAGACCCGCTCAGGAGAGCGGGCACAGGTTCAAACCGGCTGTGCCGCCCGGGGGACCCACGAAACACCATCGTGGCTTTTATTTAAAATTTTAAGAGTTACAAAAATTACAGTTTTGGTCTGGCAACAGCCCCACAGAACAATGCTATACTGGTTGTGCTCAAATCAAACAACTAATCAACGATAAAAAAGTCATAGATTACAAAATCAATAGTGTAGGTTAAAACAAAAACGCTGTTAAAATATCAAAATACTTAGTAGCACGAAATACAAAAAGTAGCACAAAAAACAACATACGGTAACGGATAAATCGGATGCGTTTTTTTAACATCAATATGAACGCGCTTAAAAAAGTATATCCCACGACCCTGGTTTTAATTTCATATTTTATAATCTGGTAACTTAGCTATGGAAATATTTTTTAAATCATGACAAATTAATCAAGTGTATGTCAACGTGTAAGCCTTTTCCTCTTATTCCTTTATATGTTCTTTTCTGTTTTATTTTGAATATTTTTTGCAGTTTTGCAATATTTTTCTCGATTAAATCATGTTAACGAATTGGACCAACTTTTTTTAAAAATTCTAATCACACTATGGCATTGATATATTTTGCTTTGGCTATATTAATAATGTGGGATGAAATTAATTCCATTTTTTAATTACATGTACTCTGAAACAGGTATTGAAGCTGATATTCAATCGTTTTCTATACCCCCGACCAACAAAGAAGTTCTTGAGGGACAAACTGTAGTTCTTCCCTGTCAAGTATCTAACCTCAAAGGTGTTGTTCAGTGGAGCAAAGATGGAACATTATTAGGTAAGAGAAACTCAGTGTGTTTACAAAGAAGAGAAAAATTGAGAAATTTAGAGCTTTCACCTAGCATCCAGCACGTACACGGATGTGTGTTCAGCTCAAACTCTATAAAGAACCAGCATTGTTCTGTAGTAACTGAGCTGCATCGAACATATTGTATTTGAAAGTTCGGTATGTTTTATGAAAGAGGTACAACACTAGAGGAATTTGTCTCCCTGCATAGCATTCTGAACGTGGAGTATAGTACGGCTTTCAGGAGAACTCCTCCAGACATCAGTCTCGCGTCGTGGCGGGTACCATGGTCACGAGAAAAAGTCACTTCGAATAGATGAGTGGGATGAATAGTTTTGTCTTGATCTTGTCATAGGTCAGCGTGAGTAAACCAATCGACACCTTCATTCCTCCTTTGTACCCCCATTAGAAATGTGCTCTCGCTTGTTACCATAGCAGCAGACAGTTCCAGGCATTTAGTCTGGAGTAGTTCTCCTCAGAGCCGCACTATATGTTGGGTGAAAAGGCAAAATCTCTCCCCCATTTACGTACGTATGTCCTGGGCAAACTCTGTATATGTTCTTTGGTTATTGCGCTGCTCAAAGTCTATGCAACGCACGTGGACGTGAAGGAGGCTATGCGAAAGTTTTTAATCTATTCGTTATCCAATAGCATTTCATGATGCATCTAGGTTGAATATCTGTTTCATAAAAAAAATGAAACCAGCATTTTTATAGTAAAGAAGTTTTTAAACTTACAATTAATAACTATAAAAAATAGCAAATGCACAACTTTTTACAAAAAAGTCAATATCATTTGGAAATTATCTGAAAGGATTGTTATTTAATGATTTAAAATTTTAAATATGATATTGGTGTTTATTTACATTTTTGAACAGCTGTCTAAAAATTCTTATCTTAATTTAAGGCCATTTTTCGACAGAATCTGGGAAATCAAATCTGGGAAATATTGTTTTAATAGTTTCGTCAAGAGAGCAGTCGAAAGTTTGGACTCCTTTGTTTTATCTTTTTCGTATTTCGCTGTTTGTTTTTAACTTTTTGAGCGAAAGGAATATTTTTTGCTCTCAATTATTAAATTCCTTCACCCCGAGAAAATTTCAACAAATTAAAAAAATTAATTATGACTTTTTTAAAGTTCGATTTGTTAGGAACTAATCGATCGATTTCGCTCAAATTTTGTATTTTGCCATATGAAATTATATTTTTTATAAAGATGATAAAATTTGTATGCTTTACAATTCCACATTTTTCAACTGTTATCAGGGACCGATCAAGACAAATTCAGGCCCAAGGCCCACCAAATTTTCCGGGCCCCTTACGAGATATTTTGAAATTACATTACTGAAGAGTAGTTCTAACAATGAAAAAGAATCTATTGAACGACATGAATCAAGAGGAACATTCTGAGAAATTTTGAAAGCAGACAATTGATATTTTTCTAAGATAAATTTTACGTATCAATAAATTAAAGCAAAACATAAAACAACAAAACAATGTTATATCAGAATAAAAATAGTTTGGTGACCACAAACAATTGAAATCAGTGATTTTTGCTACAAGTCACTGATTTTTATTTAATACTGTTTGTTGTAACACTGTTTTTTTTATTTAATACTTAAACCAACACAAAGCTATCCCACCTTTCATTAAACTTTTTGCTAATTTTTGTGGCCCCTAGGCCCATGCCTATTGGGCCTAGGCGATAATCAGGCCCTGACTGTTGTTAAGTAAAATAAAATGAAAAATCCACAATCATTAAAAGTTATTTTTGTATGAAATAATCTTTAGGTAAGCAAATTTCATAATTGTTTAAGTTTTTTTTTCTTTTCAAAGAAGCAAAAAGAAAAAAAAAATCACATCATAATATCACATTAACAATGAATAAAGAAAAGCATGCTATTATATTTATCAGCAGTATCGTGACGGCAGAGCTTCCTCACATTATTATCAGTTGTATGCGAATATTGTATTAAAACTACATAACTCCAAAGCTCCCGATATATCAAAAGAAAAATTAATATCTAGTCTGCTTTTTAGAGTTGTCTAACCACTAACAAGTGCTGCGTACCCTTAGTTTAATGGTAAATTAAAGCATTTCAAAGCGCTCTACCAAATAGAAAATGTATCGGTTTCAAGGCAGAGGATGAAAACAGAGATCTCTAAAGATAGATGATTAATTCATGGGAGATCTTAAAATATCAATTATGTGTAGCGTTTTCCTTAAAGAAATCCCTAAGTGATATGATCAAATCCTTTAACAGTTTCAGTGACAGAATAAAATAATATTGTTTAGATGTTTCAACAATATAATTAATCGGTTAATATCAATAAAATCGGTTATTATTAATAATAATCAAGTTAGTCGAGTAAAGAGAATAATCTATTAGAATTCATCACCATTTACCGGTTATTATTAATAATTACCAATGAAGATTGGTCTATGTAATAATTTTTAACTCCTTTGGCTAGAGATTTCCAATACCGTAATAGTAATTTTTCGCGCAAAGCTAGACAATATCTGTTGTTTGTTTACATTGGATGCGGACACAAGCACTATGAATGGGTGGTTCATTTGTTGTGCGACTACATTTTGCTTGAAGATTTTGCTAATTTTTTTAAATCCTTTTTAAGCTTTTGTTTTTTGAGGCACTAAATCTAAAAAACAAAACATATCAGTGTTGGGTGTTCCAGGCAAATGTACAACAAGCAGTAGAATATAATATTTTTTAAAAAAAATATTAATGTAGGATATACCGGGCAAATGAATCCCGGAAAATGGCACTAGCCTTTAAAACCATCAGTGTAAGGCATACTAAGCAGTGCAGGGTAAGCCGGGCAATTGAACTCACTTTCCTTGATTAACCTGATTATCAAAAATAAGTAAACTGCGATTATCCCAGAGAAGCGCATTTCTAACTTTTGTATCGATATTAAAATTTATGAATTCAAGATTTTCAAAATTATTATTCATTAGAAGATCTCATGATATAAAAAAAATGGAACTCTTAAAGCAATTTTTTAAAATTAAAAAATTTAATAAAAATTCTTACGCTTATTAAATTTTTTTGTTCATTTAATTTTTGTTATTTTCATACGGTTTGTTTAATTTATTTTTTAGAAACATCATGGTTTATTTTATTTTTAAGAAACTTAACTTTGATCAAATCATTTATTTTCTTTTAGGAAATCACCCTGCATAGTTGTTATTTTATCATATTTCGCAAATTGATCATCACCCTTAGGAATTTTTACAAATATCCGTTTTAATTCATTCACTGTGACATATACGTAACTCAAAATCGAAAAAATCTTGAGTCAGCTATCTTAAGTATACACATTTCTACAACTAGGGCACTGCAAAAATGTACACTCAAATTTCACGAAATTTTTTTCATTTTTGACGAAACCGTTTTAAAATATATTCTCCGAGGGAATATAACTATTGTCACTTCTTCGAAGAAACGAATTTTGTCTATTTTCTAATAATCACTTTATTGTGAACGCTATGTAATTGGGTCATTATCACTTTACTAATACAAGAAGAAAAAAATAACAGAGAGATAAATTCCACCCACGCTCGAAGCGGGATCCCGGGATCTTCCCGGTACAAGCCAAACTCCTTGACCACCATATTGCCCGTCGGTATTTTTCGTCACTTTATTTTCGATCTTAGTCAACAATATCCCACAAGAGGTTTGAAGTTGAGGAAATATAAATTTTCGTCATAAATCACATGATTTGGCGGTGAAATAATTCTCAAAATTAAAGAAATATAGTTCAAAAATTGGTGAATCGTCAAAAGTGAGAGTTTCATTTCGTAGAGTGAGATCATCAGGGATTGAGGTCCCACAATTTCGTAACTATTTCGTGATTATGGTACCTGGCAAGTTTGAACCCTTCTATCTCAGAATATGTGGTTTCCAAGCCACCATTGACTGTAGAATATCTGTCTTTTACAACATGCTATCTAGTTCTAGTTAATTATTATCTAGTTGAGATCAAGTATGCCCCATTTAAAATAAGTTTGAGGACATGCACATGGCTCAAAGTCAACAAAATAGCAAACTTTTGAAACACTCTACATTTCCTTTTTTAACTAGCTTCTTTATGTTTTATCTTAGGGTTTGATCCTGAAATTCCTGGTTATCCTCGCTATTCTTTGGAGGGAGATGCAGCATCTGGAGCACATAACTTGAAAATCGAAAACGCACAATTAGAAGACGAAGCAAGCTACGAATGCCAGGTGTTTCATAATTTTTTTCACAAATATTTGTTAAGACTTTTAAATTTTTTTCTGTGATTATTCAATTTCCTCCACCTCAGTGTTCATCTGACTTATGAATATACTTTAGATTTCCATCGGTTCGCCATTCTGAAAGACTATCATAGTTTGCAAGCATGTGACTTCGGCATTTTATCTCAGAAGCGTTTTGTTACTTCAAATATCTCTCCATCCCAAATTAGTTGCTGCACTTACCAGGCATCCAACTGCTACGCCTTTTGTCAAATAATTTATGGAGTGGTAGAAGATTCAAAACTAAAGCTTTCAGAGCTTTTGTTAAGTTGCCAAAGTTTCAAAAGCTTTAAGTTTTCAGGATAGAAGTGAAAAAATAAATCGTTTGATATAAGCATTTGAATAATTTATAAGTAGTGATTTGGATAATAACGGTAAATAAAATTTATAAAACAAAGAATCATACACTAAAACATAAACTATCCGGGATAGCCTCGTCGGTAGGGCGCTTGGCCCATGTTCAAGAGTTCGTGGGATCGATCCCCGCCGGCCGAAGACTCTCCGTGTATTAAATGGTGACTGATGCACGTTAAATCTGTTGAGTCGCAAAGTCCTCATGTTCCCATAACAAATCAATACCTCTGGGGATACTGATCCAGGAGTTTCCTTGTCATCTGGATTGGTTTAAAATTACAAGGCTACTGGGCTGAACATTAGTAGGCGTTAACTCAGAAATTGAGTCGGCTTTTCAACGACGGATTTAAAAATATAAAATAAAACATAAACTAAGCTACCAGTATGAGAAGTTTTTACCAAAAAGCGTAGAAAGTTGGCAGACGTGTATTTAGGTCAAAAATCAGACATGTGATTAGGCCAAAATTTCAATTTAGTAAATTGACGCCAGTAAAGTTATACGATAGCTAGAAGATATTTTTCAGCGATTACTGGTGGAAGAGTCTTTATTAAATGGGGCGTGGTAGAAGAGTGAGCAAACCATGGATTTTTGAAACTAAGTTAGTATTGATATAAAGAGGGAAGAGGGGAGAAGGGAATGCTTGATAATTGTAAATGTAAATGTTGTTAATTGATAGCTTATTTCTCTAAAAAAATTTCATACAAACTTATAAAACCATCAGTATCTACACTGAAGAGCCAAAAAAACTGGTACAGGCATGAGTATGCAAATTAAGGGGTATGGAGCCAATCAAAGTACAGCGCTGCGATCGGCAACTGCTGCAATGCCAGGTTATACAGATTTAAGTGAGTTTGAACGTGGTGTTACAGTCGGCGCACGGGAGATGGGACATAGCATCTCCGAGATAGCAATGAAATTTGGATTTTCACGTACGACCATTCCACGAGTATACCGCATGTGTCGGAAATCCACCAAAATTCCCAGACATGAGCATTATTGAACATGTTTGGGAAGCCTTGCAACGTGATATTCAGAAGATATCCCCACCCCCTCTTACTCCCACTGGTTTATGGACAGCCCTGCAGGATTCATGGTGTCAATTATCTTCACCACTACTTTACACATTGATCGAATCCATGCCACGTCGTGTTACGGCACTTCTGCGTGCTCGCGGGGGCCCTACACGATATTAGTCAGGTATACCAGTTTTTTTGGCTCTTCAGTGTATAATCAGTACAAAAATATTCATATATATCAACTAATTTGAGACAGAGAGAGTGTCAAAGGAAACAATAGATGAGAGTTTTACGGATTTTTCCTCATTTACTATCAGGGCTAAAGAGAATGGATGGTGTTTTCAATAGGAATGTAAACAATAACAATCTCGAGCTCGGCACCTACTCTAGTTCCGGTTAAAAAGTTTGCAGCTGCTTACTACATGTTATTCTGATAGGCGATGTTTTCAAACGGATAATTTTGTTTTCAATAAAAGAAATAAATTAGATAATTTCTGAGCTCAAATCTGCCGTATTTCATAAGATATTAATGTTATTATGTAATTCTGGGGAGTTTGGAGTGAAAATTGGTTTTAGTTATTTTGTTATTTATTATTAAAAAAGGTGACATGGTTGCTAGATTTTGAATAACTCGCTTTTTTGGCAGTCTTGATTTGGCCTCTTTCCAT